GTCGCCATCCACATCCACCGAGGTGATCTCACTCCCGTAGTAAGAGCCTATCTGCGGCACAGGGGCGGGCAGGGCGTGGGGCTGGGCCGCTGAGGGGGCCGCTGGAGCAAACCCAGGGCAGCCTTTGCCTCGGAAATTTTGGTGAACACAGGAGAAGGGTCTCCCTCTTCCCTCCCTCTGTGATCCATCCTGCCCCCCCTGGCCCTCTATGGTTCACTGTTAGTGATGGCCATTTATTCTGTCTGTAAGTTACACAATGGCAAAGGAGGGGGCAAAGTAAAAATGATACACGGAAAAGAAAACAGAAGTCATCCGTGGTCCAAGCATCCACCTGCACCGTGAGTGTTTCAGCGTCGTTTCTTCTGGGCTGTTTTCTCTAGGGGGTGTGTGTGCGTGTGTGCGTGTGTGTGTTCATGGTTTGATTTTCATACTGGGTGTGTACTTTACATACTGAGTTTTTGAAAAATAAAACAATGGACGGTGAGCATTTTCTCCATGACGTATTGTATTGTTTTCTACAACATGGTCGTTGGTGATTCTATCATATTCCAGACTGTGCATATGCCAGACGTGTCTGATCAACCCTCTGTTGTTGGACACTGAGCTCGTTTCAATTTTTGTTTTACGTTGCAGATGCTCTGGGATTAGCACCTTGGATGACGACATACTTTCTTTTCAGAATCTGAGCACTCGCTGGGGCCCTCTCCCACCTTGGGCACCACGATCTCCACTTAATTGAGGCACCGTCTGCAACATCAGTCAGAAACCAGAGGCTTTCCTGGCTGCGCCCTCCTCCTGTCCCACCCGCAGTGCCCCGGCAAGTCCACGTCGTGGATCCACCTGCTCCCTCCTCCGAGGCTTCTTTCCTGGGTGAGGCACCTTCCAAAGGGCACCCCACTGTCTCCAGGCTGGCCCCTTCAACTGACCCCTGTGGGGGGTTGGAGTGGCCTCCAGCAGCTGACCACGCCGCTCCCTTGCTTCTGGGGAAAATGTCCAAACTCTTCAGTCTGACCCTCCCGCCCAGCCTCTGTCTTCCACCCTCTGGCTCCCACACCTGCTGCTGACACACCTGAGTGACTTTTCTTATCCAAAAGCCCCAGGCTCTGGCTGGATGGTAGCTTTCCCCTGCACAAACTTTTTTCTTGCCTGCACCCCTCTCCTCCCCACCCCAGGTAACAACTGCCTTCAGGTCACTTCCTGCTGGAAGCCGCCCCTGCCCTTCCCACCCCACTCCCTGCAACCTGGGCCTCCTCCGCGCTCCTCCAGCCCTGTGCTCCTCCCCAGCACCTGCTCCCTCCACGGGGCATCTCAGGACCCTGGGTGGTGCCCCTGAGTGTCCCCTCCACGCCTGGATGTCCATCACACAGGAGGCACTCAGTGGATGTTCACAGGAGCAAAAGGTCGCTTAGGAAAGGAAAGGAGCCCTCCCCAAGGACAGTCTCTGTGTGAGACGCTCCACAGCCTCGGGCAAGCTTGTGTGAGCCCCCAGCTGCCTCAGGAGACATCATTGCTCTTATTTCACAGGAAGGAAGTGAAGCTCAGAGCAGTCGAGCCCCTTGCCCGAGGTCAGAAGGCTGGTCACAGCCAAGCCGGTTGGAACTCTGAGCTGCCTGACACCTGAGCCCAGGACTCCCTCTCCCTGGGCCATCTCCTGGCTTAGGGTGTTTTCAGAAGAAATCTATCCGCAAGCATTAAAAGCTCTAAGCTGAGGAGAACGATAAAAATACAGAAGAGAGAAAAAGGAACTCATAAACACGGTGGGGGTGGGGACAGAGATGTTCCTGCGTAAAGTAACCAAGAGGCAGACAGCAAAGAGGGAGGGGGCGGAGACGTTGTCTAAGTACGTGGCCTCAGCTCTGCGGGTCACGGTGATTTGGAATCCACTTAACTCAGCTGCCTTCAACACTGTGGTTTCGGATGCTGGAGGCGGAACTGGGCAGTAAAAATGTCATAAATTCGCCAGTGAATTCCCTCCAGCTCTCAAGGTCTAGCCTTGGATTCCCAGAAGAGCTGGCCTTGGGTGGAGTGTGGGCGGGCTCTCTCAGTGCCTTCGGGGCGTGAAGAGGAATGGTGGAAGGATGGCATCCTACAGCTGGAGGGGTTTAGGTCACACCCCGTGAAGAGCCGGTCCTCGGGCTGACAGGCCAAAGCCAAGAGAAGACACAGGAGACAGGGCTGCTCCCAGGCTCCAGAGAACCAAGGGCTGGCCAGGACAGGGGTCAGGCCCAGGGTGCCATGGATGCTGCCAGGCCGAAGGGGTGAAGGCCTGGTTTGGGGATTGTTGGGGGCCAAGGTTCAGCATCATGTGGAGAGCCCCACCAAGAGTCCTGGATTCTGAACTTGGCCCAGCCATGAATCTACCTCTAACCCTGGAAAAGCTACGCTGCTTCTCAGGACCAGTTTTCCAGGGCGACTGGGATGACTGGCAACAGAATCCTGTTGTCTGATTTTTCTCGCCAGCACTGACGCTATCATAGCTCTCCAGCTTGCACTCATGACTGTCCAGCACGGGACCTTAGCAGCACCATCTGGTTGCCCACACGTCTCAGGCAGGCGGTGATACTGGCAGCCACACAGTCCCATCCCAGGAAAGGAAGGACGTTGGGGTCTCGGTGAACCCAGGGCCTCGGGGTGGGTGGCTGCACTTTAACCTCTGGCAGCAGAAAGGTGGCTTGAGGAACACGAGTGCCTCCTCAGGACACCTCGGGGGCTGGAAGTCCCAGCAGGGCGGGGGTGGGAGGAGTGTCTATAACCTGGATGCTGCCTCTGGCCCTGAACTCTAGACATGACCAGAGAGGGGCTGGCGGTTGGAGGTGAGACAGGAAGGGGGCAGGCCAGCCATTCAAGGAATGATA